GGTTTTCTTGGCTCGTTAGCTTCAATTTTGTTGTGACGATGTTACCTCGCTCTGATGATGTCGTTTATATGACGGACGAGGGCTTAGAACCTTTTCACCGGAATCGAAGGAGATTGCCTTGAAAACAGCTTCACCCAACACTTTCACTTGAAATGGAGGTGAGCTCAACAATGGCAAAATCGCCTGGATTCATGCAAATTCTTCTTTTACCAGTCCTTCATCACCTTAAACGAAATTGTGTGAATACATCTCATATAACCTAAGTTGTCATATTAGCAGGAAGATCAAGAGGAATGCAACTTGTCCGTAGTCCATGGCATGCATGATCATTTCCAGAGTCGGATCGTCGACTTTGTATATTCACAGACTTTTCGCCGGCATCGTAGTCGGCATCATAAATAAGCCTTGCCCAGCAGAAGACGATGGCGAACTCCTTTTTACAAATTGTCGTCCAGCTTTACTGGCACCTTCTGGCAATGGCAACATCTATGCGAAGAAAAGTTGGGTTTCGAGGAATCTCTTGATTCATACTTGTTGAGCTTACTTTCATTTCGAGTGAAAGTGTTGCGTGAAGAGATTTGAACATCGGCTCCACCAGAAGACGACGGCGGATTCCTCTTGACCAGCTGTCGATTGGCTTTACTGCAACATTCATGCCGAGGCAATCTCCTTCGAAAAGGACTTTTCTTGACTCGTTAGCTTGTATTTTGTTGTCACGATGGTACCTCGCTCTGAAGACGTCCGTCATATGACGGGCGAAAGCTTAGCACCTTTTCACAGGAATCGAAGGAGATTACTTTGGAAACAGCTTCACCCAACACATTTACTCGAAATGGAGGTAAGCTCAACAATGGCAAAATCGCCTTGATTCATGCAATACCAACATATGCAAAGCAACGAGTCAACGAGGCTAACCTGCTCAATTATATACCCTAAAGATATGCATTGTTAAGACGTATGGAGCGAACTAGAAGCTTGCGTATGTGTGCTTGCATATGCGCGGGTGCGTAAATGTGTACGTAAGGATATGAAACCAGCTATGATAGTTTCAAGCAATTAGAACAGGTTTAATTACATTTTTCTTAAATCTTCCTCCGATCGCGTAATGCCAGACATGCATCCGGTTGAAGTGGCGAGCTCTGCTGTGCCAACGCGGGATTCTATAAAGTGTAACGGTAAATTGAACTAATTTTTATTTAAAGTGGAAGTTTACACGCATCTGTAGCTTCCAAATGATACCACAACTGACCCTGAGGTGATTTGGCCGATACAGCCCGAGAGACGTCTCCGTTAGCAACGACAAGCTCCGAGTAGTCAGTCTCTTCCAGGTTGGTCTTTTCCTCCGTCGCCAGACTGACCCCGGGCGCAGAAACGGTTCCGGAGCCCACTGATAACTCGTCAACAGAGGCTTCAGGACAGACGGTATGTCTGGGACGCACATTCGGTTGCCGACTGCTCTGGTCTTCCGAGAACTCCGAGACGAATATGGACTCCTCACAAGTGGCTGGAACGACTGCTCCCCCAGAAGTGCTGGGTTGCGCCAAGGACTGGCCGGATTGAGAATTGTCCGTCTGGAGGGTTCTTCGGCTTGTGGGGTCAGTGATGGCCAAGTTTGATGCACGGTTGCCATCATCGAGAGGCACACCAACCGAGGCGACATCCCCTAAAGAGCGATGAGCCTGCTTCTCGGCGCATAAAGAGCCATCTTGCTGATGGAAAAAGAAGACAAAACAGGACTAAGAGAATGGAAAGCTAATAAATGAATAAGGATATGGCATGTTAAAACCATAACAACAGTGAAGTTTTCATAACGTAAGTTATTTTTAGAATTAAGTATTGTTTTCGTGACTACCGGTAAATCAGTAATATGATATGTATTTACCCAATTTCGTTTAAGGTGATAAAGGACTGGTAGAAGAAGAATTTTCCCACAAGCATATGAGTTGAGCT